TTGATGAAATGAGCTGCCAAAGTTATTAATTCCAACTAACGCCGATCTATGATTAAACACGCATACGCTTGTCTCCATACATTCTCAATCTTCCTGGATGACAGGTTGCTTCGCGGATGATTCTTGATCAGGTACATGGCTTGAAGTGTTGCATGCCTCTCCCTCTAGGAAGTGGTCTGTGGATACTCCTTCCCCTCGCCTGAGCCCGAAGACTCAGATCTCAGAGGTTGGGCCGTCACCACCGAGTCGGCAAAGTAGCACCCCCGACGAGCCGGATCCACTCCAAGTCGATAATAGGGCCGGCTCCGAAAGCATACGAACCCCCGCCTTGGATGCTTCATAGAGAAGAGAATGCGTTCACCGCAAGTAGTTTTCAATTATTCTCATTCCTTCTCGGTTCTCTGTAACTTAGACGTAAAGAAACTGAGTGAGATGGAGAATGAGAATCATTTTAACAGGTACAAGTAGATAAAATCATTTGTGATAGACTACTCTCACGGTACACGTTGAAATTATACATTCCAAAATTCAAATATTTTATCATGCAGGCCGGTGAAAGATTGAAAGAGAACAATCCTTTCCCTTTTCTCCAACAGGCAAAGTCAATCTCCATAGCAAGCACCCTTCTACCTACCTGCACAACATGCAAAGAGAAGAAGTTCAAAGGAAAACAGTACAGTCCCATACTCGAGTCAGACCACTCCATCCACATGCATGACTCTCACAACTTTCTCCTGCCTTTTCTTTTGAACATTCAAAATGACAAGGTCAAGCAAAGTGTGGGTTCATACAGGTGTGAAGGGAAATCTGAGTCATTCAATTGACCTTGAGTGAAGTTTGGTCCGACCCACTCAAGAAGTCGGGTAATATTCCAATTAAAAGAAAATAATCGCCATAGAAAAACATGCGGCACACAACTCATATGTTGTGGCCTTTCTCCTGAATCACGGTCCGCGTCCTCCACCGAGTGTCCAAATAAACAAGAGTTGGCCCAAAGAGGGGATTTAAGTGGGATAACCCTCCAGGAGGGTACTCCCATAATCCAGTCCGATGTCGCCCCAACATCCTGAACAATTTCAACGCAATCCCTACAACACCTCGTCCTTCAACGGTACGTCCCAACCAGCCGCAAGTCCATGCCGCCTCCAAGCACCACGTACGCTCATAATAGCCACCACAATATGTCGGTTCCGATCTTCAAAATCAGACCCACCTGGTCCCAAAATGGTCCCAGATGGTCCCACGTCACCGCTGTACCACCGGATGGCCCCAAACTCAAAACCCGCTCGCACCGCGTTCCACAAAAATATATGCGGACCACTGCTCGCTGCGCCATCAACCCAGTACCACGGCTGCCCCGCAACACCAGCGTGAGATCACGCCCAAAATTGTCTCCACTGACGCAAAACCCGCATCAATCTTCCCTCGCAATAGTACTGCCGACGTGTTGCCAATATAAAAAAATAACATCGACACCACCGCCAATCTCGGCAGCACGATCCACCAAAAAAATGTTGCTGCCACTGTGCCAGAAAAATGGTAGCACTTCTCCACTGACAACGTCGCTGCCGCCGTGCCAAAACAAACGGCAGCACTTTCGCACCACTGTTGTTAAAATCAATGCCGCCGCCGCAAAAATCCGGTAGCGCTTCCGCGCCACCGCCGTTAAAACCTGTGCAGTCGTCGCAAAATTTCGGCAGCGCTTCCGCAGCACTAGCAAAATTACACTGCCGCCGCCGTGCAAAACGGGCAAAGTCTCCCCTACACCGCAACAAAAATAGCTGCCACCGCCGTGCTGTGCAGGCAGCACCTTCTCTGCACTTCACCAAATGAAGTGGTGGCTATGGCAGCCTCCACTCTCGCGCTCACTGCAAACCTCCACTCCACTTCCACCTCTCAGCACCTGAGCAGCATAATGTTGCTCACTACTCCACATTCAGTCAGTATGTGGGCAGCACCTCAACTGAGTGAGGATGCTGCTGGTCAGCCCTGCTTTTATAGCTGGGTTAGATTGGTGGTCAGCCACTTGAGGCTCAGCCAAAAAAACGGGGTTGAGCCTAGCCCTCGATCTGCACTTCGATCGAGGGCTGGGAATCTTGATGTTCCACTAGGAACATCAAGTCATTGGCTTTGGTTATGCACCTGGCTGCCACCCACGGCCGGGCGCAGCCTCGAAGTGGTTGTATCAAGCAGTTTACAGTTGCCTGTTCAAAACGAACAGTTGCAGTTTTTTCCCCCCTCTAGAACCTTCTACTCCACCATATCCAACCTACCCCCGCGGCCACATACGTGGCCGCCACTTATTTCTCCCCTTCGTTTCCTTGGGAAGGGGGTAGCTCGTTTTTACAAATGAGCAGCCTCCCCTAGTCATTTCACTTAGTCAAACTAGAGTCAAGTTCAACAGGGTCTTCTCCCCCTGCTCCCACATGCTACTCGCACCTGTATCCAGCACACCTCAAGTGCCCGATACAGGTGCTTAACAGCAGACTGCTGCCCGATACTAAACGAACGGGCGCAGCCTTTAACGCTGGAGCCAACGAGGGAGGGGCATAATAAAAATAAAAAAGGAAGAAATAAAATATAAGAAAACAAAAAAACTTAAAAATTTGTCCAAAAAAAACGGCTGCCCGTTGTCACGGGCGCCGGTCATACATCATGGGGACCATCAGTCCCCATCACCTATCATGAGCGCGCCCGTACCTAGGCACCTTCGACGCCGGGTACGGGCGTTTCATGTCCTCCTGCCCGTTTCATAGCAGGGCTCGGCGCGAAGTGGGATCCTCTCTCTCTCTCTCTCTCTCTCTCTCTCTCTCTCTCTCTCTCTCTCTCTCTCTCTCTCTCTCTCTCTCTCTCTCACGCGCGCGCGCGCTCGCTCTCTCTCCCTCTCGCGTGCACATTCCAACCTGACGGGCAACCTATTCGTCGCGTTGGAGCGTTAGTGCTGGCGCGGTAAATTAGCTGCGGCTGAACGCGCTTGCGCGCTAAGTACCTGTTCGGCTCGTTCCCCCTGCGCCAACCCCCAGGAGGCCGCCGCAGGCTGGTGCCCCGCGGGTTGTTTTTTTTTCTTTGAAAAAAATTGAAAAAAAAAAAAAAAAAAAATGAATGCACGGGGTGGTACCCGACAACGAGTACTACCACCCCGCACCTTTACAAAACCCCCTCCCCCCCCCCGACGGCGCAAAATAACGGTTCGCGGACCCCGTTCATTCGCGTCCAACGCGCGTTTGAACGGGGATTGAATGCGAATTGAACGCGCATTCAATTTTTTAACGCGCACCCCACGTTAAATCGAATTTCGGACACACAGCCCTAGGGCGCTGATCTCTTAGGTACAAACGAACGTCGGCCGACTAGGACGGTCTCAACCAAACGTGAAACCCATAGTATAATCCTAGTCCCTTTATAATTTCCTGACCACAAAATAAATAAATAAAATCAATACACTTTACATCCAATCACCCAAGATTAAACTTTGACTTGATGAAATGAGCTGC